CTTTAATAAAATATTATATATAAAAAAAAGAAAAAATACTGCCAACTTTTAAAAGTACAAAAGTTCATGCTTTGATATAAGATCAATGAGGAGCAGTTGTTTATGCTTATGGAGTTACACTAGTTGGGTTTTAGGGATATAGTATAAGATTGTTATTAGCTTATGTGAATCAGGTTTCAAATAGCCTTGTAGCTTTACTTTATAAGTAAACAAATTTATAAACAATAAACTTAATAGTCAAAACTTGCTCAGTGAGAAAACACACATTTGTTGATTTAGTAAAGAGACAACATCAATATTAGGAAAAAGTTCACTTTAAAAAGAAAAATTAATGTAACTAATTTGTAATATAAAATAACTTTTGTGGATTTTTAAAATTTGTATCTCAAACTGAACCTGGGGTCTTCTGAGTGCATTAAAGAAAATAACAGATCAGTAGTTGAAGCTGACATGATTGATCCATCTGAAAATACTGGTTTGTTTAATATCTCATACTTGAACCAGGCTCACAGCTTAGTATAGAAACGGTCCATTTTCATTCACTGTCTCTGGCATATTAAGACACATTTAATGTCTAATTAGAGAACTAAATCAAACCATTTCTATGTTCTTACTTAGGCAAGAATCAAAACTGTGTGCACCGATGTTTGGATAACATATATATCATATACTGGCCAACAAAAACTATTCTTAGCCATGCCTCTTGATCAGAGAAGATGCTTGCAAGTGGGCATCATTCACATTAAATCATTTGCCAGGCTTAACATGACATATAAGAAGTAATTCCTAAAGCTATACCTAGAAAACCACCTATAAATAATAAGTGATAGAAACAGAAACGCATTCTAATTTCTCTTCAAAGGCATCTGACTTTACGCAGCCAACATAAAACCCAGGTTCCATCAGAAGAATGGCAAGAGAGGCTTTTCAGCTAATCATAATTTTGGTTTGATTTTGTAGAAATTAGCCGAGGCAAAATTTATTTATTTAAAATATTTTTATAGCCGCCCATCTTAAACAACTCTGGGCAGCTCACAACAGCAATAAAACCCAGTAACTATAAAGCATAACCATCAAACCAAAACAAAAACAAGGCACCTTAATACTCCCCTTTGGATACCCCGCAGCAGCAAGCTCCAATAACTACAATTAGGTTAAAAACTCCCTCAAGTTCAAACTCATGTTTCCTCTTACAGAACTATTTTACCACTGCCTTTTTTTCTAGGATTTCTTTTTCAAATTCCCAGTCTAACCAACTGCTACTAAAGCTATTTTTTCAGAGATAGGTGATTATAAATAAACTGTCAACGTTTGGAGACTAAATACATGAAATTTAAGGTAAATTATTTAGGATGCCCTAAAAAGGAAAAATCTTGAAGATAATTATAGCCAAAGAACACAATCCAGACATACAGTTTTATATTTTCTGTTTTTCTCTTTGCTCAGTGTTTCTTCTTGTATTAGTCAAACTGCTATTGAGAGGTATGCAGTGCAGAAGAATCTGCAGAGTATAAAAACTCTGCATGATAAATCTATGTACTTGCCTCCGTGGAGATGGAGTCCGAGATGATTTCCTTTTTATGATTTTAGATGGTCTAGGAGACTTTGAAGGACTTCGGCTCTTCCTCTTCCTTCGATCTCTGTAAGGTCCATTAATTAAAAATTAGAAGTCCAGTGGATATACAGTGCATTCGGAAAGTATTCAGACCCCCTTCACTTTTTTCAATTTTGTTATGTTGCAGCCTGATACTACCCCCTTCACTTTTTTCAATTTTGTTATGTTGCAGCCTGATACTACCCCCTTCACTTTTTTCAATTTTGTTATGTTGCAGCCTGATACTACAATTGTTCAAATTCTTTTTTTTCCCCTCATTAATCTACACTCAGTACCCCATGATGACAAAATGAAAACAGAATTTTAGAAATGTCGGTAAATTTATTAAAAAGGAAAAACTGAAATATCACATTGGCATAAGTATTCAGACCCTTTGCAACAACACTTGAAGTTTAGCTCAGGTACCTCCCATTTCTCTTGATCATTGCTGAGCTGTTTCTACACCTTGACTGGAGTCTACCTGTGGTAAATTAAATTGATTGGACATGATTTGGAAAGGCACACGCCTCACCTTGACTGGAGTCTACCTGTGGTAAATTAAATTGATTGGACATGATTTGGAAAGGCACACGCCTCACCTTGACTGGAGTCTACCTGTGGTAAATTAAATTGATTGGACATGATTTGGAAAGGCACACGCCTCTCTATAGAAGACCTCACAGCTGGCAATGCATACTGTATCAGAGCAAAAGCCATGAGGTCAAAGGAACTGCA